AATAACAGATTACATTTTGCAGATTTCAGTTTGTCAAATCACAATGAAGAGACTTTATATGACATATGTCAGTGGGACAAACTTGTGTAGATCCAGCTGTGGCTAATTTTGCAGAGTTCACCTACAATCCTATTCTTTTGAGGCTCGACGAGCCTCCGTGGCACAGGGGTTAGAGTGCAATACTGCAGGTTATTTCTGCTGACTGCCGGCTGCCTGCACTTTGGCAGTTCGAACCTCACCAGGCTCAAGATTGACTCAGCCTTCTATCCTTCCGAGATGGGTGAAATGAGGACCCAAATTGGTGGGGCAAGAGGCTGACTCTGTAAATTGCTTAGGAGAGGGCTGTAAAGCACTGTAAAGTTGTATATAAATCTAAGCACCCTTCCTTCCTTCCTTCCTTCCTTCCTGCCTGCCTGCCTGCCTGCCTGCCTGCACACACAGTGGTCAGAATGCAGTATTGTAGGCTAATTCTGCCAGCTGCCAGTAGTTCGATCCTGACCATTTCGAGGTTGACTCAGCCTTCCATCCTTATGAGGTGGGTAAAATGAGGACCCAGATTGTTGGGGGCAATAGGCTGATTCTGTAAACCACTTAGAGAGGGCTGTAAAAGCACTGTAAAGTGGTATGTAAGTCTGTTGCTATTTCTATTTTATGATGACTGAAACCTCATTGACATGGATATAATAGGATATCTCTACAATACTGGACATATAAAGAGTTAAAATATACCAGTAAGGAATAAAAGACAATAGTTTTGGAATAATCTAAATATAGCTATTGACTGATGAAGATTTTCTAAAAGGTGATGGTATTCAAGTGATGTTCCTTTTGCTTTGGCACACAAAGTGCCCATTACTATTGATACTATCTTAGCTTTCTTTTCCCATAGTCATTCTACTACTATTTGCAGGTCTTTATATGATGTGATTTTCTTCAGTATTATCTATTCTGTTCTGCTGTTTTCTATTCAGGCTTCTTTGTCTTTTTTTATTGACAATTGTTAAATCTGGGGTATTATGAGGCAAGTGCTTGTCTGTTTGAATTCTGAAATCCCAGAGCACTTTAGTTTATTCATTTTCTATGACTTTTTCTATTGTATATTCCCACAAGTAGCATTTTTGCAGCTATTCCAATGCACCATTGTTGCTAATTGATCATATTTGTAATCAGCCTGTATTATTATTATTATATATTTTATTCATTAAACATGAAACTCACCCAACTGAACATTCAAAAATGCATTACAAATACCAGTCACTGGTGCTAATGGTTGATACGGTTTGCTTCCAGTGTCCTAGGTATCAACCAAGTACCTTCTTAAAATGTAAGATGTTCCGAGTAGTGCAGGTTTTGTTGTTGTTGTTGTTGTTGTTGTTGTTGTTGTTGTTTTGCAGTTCCGCTGGTGTTATTGCAGGAAGCTGCAATTTGTTGATGTATCTTGTAAAATTCTTGGACATGGTGCCAAGTGCCCNCCACCATATGTGATAATAAGTCCCTTGTACTTTTTTACACTTCCAGCAGGTCGGCTTCATGTATTGTATTTTTTTCCTTGGGAAACTCGTGTGCAGACTGATTTCTTGTATGTGTGTATCTCTCTCTCTTTCTCTCAGAGCACGAATCAAAGACTTCGGCCCAGGCGCGTGGCCGGTATTCCCACGTGGCCACTGTGATGAATGGAAACGTGCTCCTTGTGGCGGGAGGCTACAGCGGAGTGCCACGGGGTGACCTGCTAGCTTACAAAGTGCCCACCTTCGTCTTTCAGGTGCCATCTCAGATGGTAAGCGACTCTCCCATCTTTGGGGAGTTGAAGTCCACGGGTCATAAAGAGGCCATCGTTCCCCACCCCGGCTCTAGCAGGATGTCCAGGCTTCCAAAATTAACACGATTTCATCACTGACCGACTTTTCTTCTCTCCTGTCCCCAGTACCATCTGGATTACTGCTCTATTTACACGGAAAAAAGCACATGTGCCAAGGACCCAGAATGTGCCTGGTGCTCCCGAGGATGCCAGAGCACTCAGCCTCGTAACCTTGTGAGTAGTCTGGAAATGCGCAAGGCGCAAATCGCAACGGACGACGTCAGCTTGGTGTAAATTTAGCTGCTGTTTCTGGAGCACTGGTAGTTCTCAACTTACGACCAGAATCGCCACCAGATTTTCTTCGATTGCTAAACGTATCAGCGGTTAACAACCTTTTTTTTGCCAGGGTTGTCAAGCAAATCACTTTCGTCGTTAAGTGACCCATGCGGTCGTTAAGCGAATCTGTCTCCCCGCCCAATTGACTTCACTTATCAGAAGCTCTTTAGGAAAATGGCAAATCAGAATCACCAGGCCCAGGGCTGCTGCAGCGGACATAAATATATATGCCAGTTGCCAAAGTGCCTGGATTTTGATCATGTTGTTTTTGGAGGTGCTGCGAAAGTCATAAGTATGAGGACTTGTTGTAAGTCCTGTTTTTTTTTCTGTGGTGTTATAACCTCAAATGGTCACCAAACAAATTATTCTATGTGGAGGACTACCTGTATAGAAACCAAGTGCATGGATGGATGGAAAGAAGGATGGATGGAAGGAGATGAGAAGGGAAGAAGGGAGAGGTGGCAAAAGGGGAAGAAAGAAAGGAGAAGGTGGGAAGGAAAGAAGGGAGAAATGGAGAGATGGCAGAAGGGGAAAGGAAGGAAGGATGGATGGATGGATGGATGGAAGGAAGGAAGGAAGGAAGGAGAGAAGGTGGGTAAGGAAGAAGGGAGAGATGGCAGAAGGGGAAGGAGTGATGGATGGATGGAAGGAAGGAAGGAAGAAAGGAGAGAGAAGATGGGGAAGGAAGAAGGGAGAGATGGCAGAAGGGAAAGAGTGATGGATGGATGGAAGGAGATGAGAAGGGAAGATGGGAGAGGTGGCAGAAGGGGAAGAAAGAAAGGAGAAGGTGGGAAGGAAAGAAGGAAAAAAGGGAGAATTGGAGAGGTGGCAGAAGGGGAAAGGAAGGATGGGTGGATGGATGGAAGGAAGGAAGGAAGGAGAGAGAAGGTGGGGAAGGAAGGAGAGATGGCAGAAGGGGAAGGAGTGATGGATGGATGGATGGATGGAAGGAGATGAGAAGGGAAGAAGGGAGAGGTGGCAGAAGGGGAAGAAAAAGAAGGTGGGAAGGAAAGAAGGGAGAAATGGAGAGGTGGCAGAGGGGGAAAGGAAGGAAGGAAGGATGGAAGGAATGAAGGAGAGAAGGTGGGGAAGGAAGAAGGGAGAGATGGCAGAAGGGGAAGGAGTGATGGATGGATGATGGAAGGAGATGAGAAGGAAAAAAGGGAGAGGTGGCAGAAGGGGAAGAAAGAAAGGAGAAGGTGGGAAGGAAAGAAGGGGGAAATGGAGATATGGCAGAAGGGGAAAGGACGGATGGATGGATGGATGGATGGATGGATGGATGAAGGTCAGACCAGTGAATGAAGGTCATAATCAAGTGAAAGATTATCTGCATTTATCCCAAGGCAAAGTCTCTACATCTACATAATTCAATTGAAAGGCATCATTTCTGATAATTTTATCCACCATATTTCGCTGCTTGACGGATGTGTTCTTTCTCCCAACCCTGTTCCTTCTTTAGTGCCCCAACAGTGGCTGTCTGGGCTTGGCCCGCCTCTTAGTCGACTGCCAATCTTGCCTCGCCTTTGGCGACACCAACGGTTCTCTGCCCCGAGCTTCCGGTCCCTTTGGCTGGTGTGTGCAAAACGAGACTTGCATGCCCATCTCAGGTAACCGGGCAGATTGGGGGCTTCCGTGATGCCGTTGAGGCCGCCACCTTGATGTGAGTCCATGTGCCCCTGGGTTTTTCCTAACCAGCTTCCTTTTCCTTCCCCAGAACAGGGCAGATGCCAAGTGGGGAAGATTTCAGGTACCTACGGCTGGTGGGGGCCCCAGTCCTTCTTCATCACCTCCCTGGCCCAATGTCAGCGCGAAGATTTCTTGCCCGGCCTTCATCTGATTACCTACCAGCAGCCACGCAATGACTCCCAGCCGGACAAGGTAAACAGCTGGGATATGACTCCACACTCCCCCACTTCTGACTGGGGGGAATGCATGATAGTGGTCTTTGTTCTGACCTCCTCCTCCGTCCAGTAATGAAAGCCGAGACACGCTTAATGAGAATGTCCTTTAATAGCAAGACCAGAATCTCGGTGGCTGAAAGCCAAGTAAACAAACAGATAAGGACCTTGGCAGCAATTCAGACAAACTCTGGCAGCAATCCAGCCGGCCCAGTTAGTTTCTCTTTAGTCCAAGCGTTAACTTCTGCAAGAAGGGTGTGGCATAAGCAGTCTCTTTTATAGTCTGGAGTGGAGCCTAATGACCATCAGCTGAGCGTAATTACCTCCTGTAATTACATAGTTGTTCTTGACGTCGAGTAGCTCTTCGGCGGCGTGCATCCCGGAACAACTCACTGTTGGTTTCTGGATTACTCTCCCTTGTCTTTCCATGGTGTGCAGTGGTTAAAATGCAGTATTGTAGCCTATCTCTGCTCACTGCCAGCAGTTTGATCCTGACTGGCTCAAGGCTGACTCAGCCTTCTGTCCTTCTGAGGTCAGTAAAATGAGGACCCAAATTGTTGGGGGCAAAAGAGGCTGACTCTGTAATCCGCTTAGAGAGGGCTGTAAAGCACTGTGAAGCGGTATATACGTCTAAGGACTATCCTTCCTTCCTTTCCTTCCTTCCTTCCTTATTGCAGGTTAATTCAGTGCTAACTGCCAGTAGTTCAAGTCTCACCAGGATCCAGGCTGACTCAGCCTTCTGTCCCACTGCCATCAGTTTGATCCTGACTGGCTCAAGGCTGACTCAGCCTTCTGTCCTTCTGAGGTCAGTAAAATGAGGACCCAAATTGTTGGGGGCAAAAGAGGCTGACTCTGTAATCCGCTTAGAGAGGGCTGTAAAGCACTGTGAAGCGGTATATACGTCTAAGGACTATCCTTCCTTCCTTTCCTTCCTTCCTTCCTTCCTTCCTTCCTTCCTTCCTTCCCGCCTGCCCGCCATGCTGCAGCAGTGGTTATAATGCAGTATTGTAGACTAACTCTGCCATACTGCCAGCAGTTCAATCCTGACCTCAAGTTTGGACTCAGCTTTGCCTCCTTCCGAGGCGGGTCAAATGAGGGTCCAGATTGTTGGGGGGGGCAAGAGCCTGACTCTGTCAACTGCTTAGAGAGGGCTATAAAGCAGAGTGAAGTGGCGCATAAGCCCGTAAGCGCTACTGCTATTGCTCGCCATAGGTCTCCATCGTCCGAAGCACCACCATCACCCTGAATCCCAGCACAGAGATGGACGTCTCGCTGGTCTACAAGGGATTCATTCACCCCCTGGTGAGCAGCTCTGGGCCCGCGGAAGACATCTCCATCTGGGCACGCATCCAGCGCCTCTTTGTGGTGGCGAAATTAGGCCGAACCCCGGGCGCATCGGAGCTGGTAAGGAGGCGTCGTCTTGCTTCCGTTGTTGGAAGGGAGTTTTCTCCTTAAACCTGGGAATGTGTAGCAATGGGGGAATTACAGAAAGGAGGGACTCCACCTGCAAAACTCCCTGCCAGAGAGTCACACTGCAGCTGCAGGCCCCCTCCGGCTTGGAAGAGAATCAAACCTTTCGTTTGTGATCATATCACGGATCCAGTCAGTTGACTGTGGATTCGCTAGCTGAATTAGATTAAGATCCTTTTTAATCCTGCCTTTATGTATTAGTGATTCAAGGTGGGTGAGCATTCTTAATACTCTTTCCTCCCCTCTTTCCCTACGATGGCCCTGTGAGGTGGGTTGACCCTAAGTCACTCAGATGGCTTTCATGCCTAAGGCAGGACTAGAACTCACTGTCTCCTGGTGATTG